AAAAGAACTTTGTTTTATTTTTACCACTTACATCCTCAATTGAGGACAAGAAAAGCTCCCGCCAACGTCTTTTCTCTCCCCGCCAGAGCATCTCCATCTCATTATTATTTGTGCCTGGCGGAAAAATTAAATAAAAAATCTCCCGGCTTTCTTCTCAGCCTCACAGAGGGCCCAGACTGCTTAGGCTAATCCTTTAATTGAGTCGCGCGGCTTAATGAACTTGCATGTCTGCTGAGTCAAAGGCAAGACTGGCAAAGTTTTAAAATTGCCGCCAGCCATTTCGCTCGCTCGCTCGGCGCGCCTTTGAGTGCCACACTAATGGCTCCATTCGCCAAGTACACAAATTAACGTGCAACGTGATGGAAAATAAAAGACTAGGTGTGGTCGCGCACGTTGCCTACCTTCTAAAGTATTTTACTTTTAGCAAAAAACGCCATTCCAGAGCTCTTTTTATTCCGCCGTAACATTTAATGAATATTTTAAGCCACCTAGTTTGTGGAATTTCAAGCGGAATTAACTTTTTTCATGGAAGCAGTGAAGTTCCGTCCCCCCTCTATTTTTTGTTAAAGCTCTTATCTCTACGATGATAAAGCACAGGTTGTCCTGTGTGCTGAAAAAACGCGTGCGCTCCTTGTGCAACCTGACAATGATAATTAAAATCATTTGCGCGCGGCACAGTGTAGAGGGGAGTCCGAATTAAATTCCTGCCCCAGGCTGTAAATTTCCATTATTTCACTGCTCTCGCGTCAGATAGCAGCGAGTCGCTTTTTGCCTGTGCGTTCGTTCGTTCGATCGATGCCGCCGAGAGAAAGAGTGGCCTCGGACCAAATGAGAGAAAAATGTGTGCTCGGTTTTTTTTTGGGGTCTAGACCGGCCGTCGGCTGCTGCTTTTCAATATAACGTCCTCAGCCGGCTGCGTGTTGTTGCCACCGCTGGCTGCTGACCTTTTTTGCCGAAACGGACATGGTTGCCGTTCGGATTTCGAGTCAAACAGCTCGTCCGATCACTTTTCCACTCGAGTATGTCAACGACACGACTTTCAAAGCTAGTGGAAAAAGCCGGCCAGCTTTTTGGTCCGTGTTTGGTGGACGCACTAATCTTATGAAGGAAAACCGCACCTGGTGCGTGTGGGCATTTATAAAGGCATGAAGGGTTACACCAACTTGATTAATTTTTACAAATGGCAACATTAATTTTATAAAGAATTTTGCATGCGTTATTTTTAGGGAATTTCATGTATTTCAAAAAAATTGGCTAGTCATGGAAATAAAATGTCAGAAACTTCTTCCAAAGATGTATTTCGATTATTCTTTATTACAATGTTTGTTTCGTAAAATAGGTGTTAGAAATAAAAACAAGTGTTGCAATATAAAGTTATGATTTCATTCAAACTTTCACAACATTAAAATCGTTATTCAGTTTTGCTCTACTAAAAATGTAAGGAAAGCTGCCATAGTTTAAGATCAATATTGAGATTACAAAATTTTATTAAAGTTTTAATTCAAAAATAATTTTTTTAGTAATGCATTATTTACAAAAGAGAAACAATAAATTAGGATCCTGTATTAATTTAATTTACTTTAGTAATAAAAATAGAAATTAATTTGTCAAACTCCATTACATTTTAGATGATTTCACCAGACCTAATTTCAATCTACAATGTTTTTACCTTCTTGTATGAGTAAAGGTTATGCAACGTGCTCACTACACACGCTCACCTGGTTGCATAACCAGGTAAACGGTCTCCACGACCGCTCGGAAGAAAAATACACGAACCAAAATCATCCCCGAGTCCCCGACCATTTGCCTCCAGCAGTCGCTGTAACATTTTTTACATATGGGTTTAGGTCGAAACGTAAATAAAATCTAATCCCCGGCCCTTCTCGGTCCACATCCGCCTGAAATCCCACCCGTGAGAATACCCAGCACTCTCCTCTTCCTTGAAATCAATGGCGGGAGCTCGCTTGGAGTTTAGAGAAAAAAGAAGCCGTTGACACCTTTTCCATTTTCCCGGGCGAGGTTTTCCCACGACAATGCAGGTCTCTCTCGTGCACGCTTTTGTTACATGGAGCCAATTCTTCCTTAAAATCTCATTACTCGCCGTGCAAATAATTTGAGAGCAGGGCCGGCGGAGATAGAGCGGCCGTAAATTGCAGAGGCGCCTCCGTGCGCCGCCGAAATTGTTTTTCTACCTCGGCTGGCAAGCAGCGCGTGCCTTTGAGTTTTATTTCCACCCCGTGGCAGCTTCAGGGGCCGGGCCATTTAAGATTTCGCATAATATGTATTTCGTCGGTGAGCAGACAAAGGGAAAATGTACAGCCGGAGAAGGGCACATTTGCGTCCCTTTCTTCTTGAGCCAGCCGACGCAAAGACGAGTGCGCTCTCCTCGGCTTGACTGCCCCGAGGACGTGTTTTGCTGAATTATACGCTCATTAGCTCGTGGGCTCACTTGAGAACAAACGAGGGAATTTCGGAGCCGTCTTGCCCCTCTTGTACTTTATTCAAATTTCAAATAGGCTTAGCCATTCTTATTGGGCCAATTACTCCCTTTCGCTTATGTATTTAAATAATTAAATTCTACCTTTAGGAGAAAATGCATTATTTTAATTAATTTCTTATACCATGTGGTTGAATATAAATTATAACTAACAATTTTTGTGTTAAAATATTTAAAGTAGCAATTCCTCCAAGAAATTATACTGGTACAAAGCCCATTTATTTTTTATACGGATATAAATAATCGTTATAATTCTATAATATATATCAATTTGAAAATAACTTATTTATTAAATAAGGCTGATTTGAAATTTCCTATGTTCGAAGAAGAATATCTTCTACACTGAAAAAATAATTGAAATCGTGATATACCCTTATAACCAGGTTTTACAATATTTTGGACGCGCGACTCAACTTGAAACATAATGGAATTTCATTAAATTATTTTAAAGAGACGAAATAGTATTACGATTCCTGCAATTGAAAAAAATTTAGTTGATAATTCCCCTTTGTTATTTTCATCTAAATTATTAATGTACAAACAATTCAATCAAATTTTCCAGGAACTTCAAGGCATTTCACACTACGCTCACGCTTCATTCATGTTAATAATATTCAACAATACTAATTCTGGTGCCACACCCTAATCGGATTATTTGCCTTACACCGAAGCAAAACAATTGCGAAAGTCAACTGCGACGTCGCCACATGCTCTCTCGGAGCAACTTAATGAACAGGCGCCGGCTGTTGCGAAAATGCTAATCTCTCGCCCGCCCTCCCTCGCGTGGGTTGTTGTTTGGCGGTGAGCGTGTCAATAATTAATGCTGTGTCTTGTTGTCGTCTCCTCGCGCGTCATCTCGGGCGTGATTTTAATTAAGGTGTGTGCCTGCGGATGATCCGCCGCCCGCCGGTGTTAACTCACCCCCTGGCTCAAACTTCGCGCCTGAATTATGCACGCGGCATACATACATAGCATATCCGCTCGCGAATTCCGTTGCGAGAGCAAAAAGGCGACGAGAGAGAGAGAGAGAGATGCGGAACAACTAACTCTCTTTGAATGAGAACACGGCGGCGGCTGCCGTATTGTCTATTTCAATTCTACAGCAGGCGGCGCAGACGTGTAATTCCGGACTGTGCGGTGTACGAACTAGCACCGCCGGCAATTACAAGAAAGCATGTTTGTCGTAATTGGAAGCGGTTAAAGTTGCAGAGTTAATTGGTTAAAGTGTCAAAAGCATGCATCAAATGCTTGAGGTTTCTCTGAAATGTTTTCAATCAATGAGGAGCACCTGGGGAGAACTAAAAAAAATGGCATTTAATTTATCCAAATTAAGTTGTTTGGCTTAGTGAATTCAAAATTTAGTAATAAATATATTTTACATTAATTTTATTTGATTCAAATTGGGAATCGAATATTAAAAAAGAAACCTAAACTTTTCGAGCCAAAATTAAATGTCTTATTTGAAGTTTCTATAATTCATTGATTAACTTATCATGCTCACGAAAACTATGTTTTTTTTTTGTATATATATTGCAATATATTAGTTCTTTACAGATTTTAATATTATTCTTTCTAATTCCATCATGGTAATTTTAAATATTAATTTTTAAAATTTTATTATAAAAATTAATAATTAAATATAAACGAATTAATAAAATTAACTAATGAAAATAAATATTGCAATTCTTTTTACGTTCTGAAAATTAATTATTAAACCAAATTTTACAATTTAACATTATTAATCGTTCTTTTACAAAGACAAAATTTGAAAAACACATTTTGGGTAACTGAGACAGAAGTTGCAAGTTTTGTCATCCGAAATGTTTTGAAAATCACGACTGATCAAAAAAAAAAAATTACTGTTCTGTATCTTAAATGTGTTGGCAGTATTTTTAATATTTAGCTGCTTTAATATGCTACGTAATCTTCTATATAGTTATATTGAAGCCCATTTTGGGCTAAAAGCTTCTGGAAAAAAACAATTAACATTTATTTTTTGCCGAAATGATTAATCAAGTTTGTTGCTCACTTGATAAAAATAGAGCAACAGAAAAATTTATAGCACATTCATATGCTTGATAAAAAGAAAATACAATTTATAAGTACTCAACATTTAAAAATTACTTTTAGACTTTTATAGTGATTTTTGTACATAATTTGACATTTAGAACCCTCAATGATTCTTGTGAAAATTTGCTTGCTGCAAAATGCTCCAACTCGCGGCAAAGTCATTACGCAACCCCTTTACAAATTTAAGTAGCGAACAAGGGGTTGAAAGCGACACTGACGAAACTTGGTGCCAAAAGAGACACGCCGCACCGCCGCAGGGTGGGCCTATGTGCGCGTCACTGCAAATCCGAAAGTGAGTTAGTCGCCGCGCCAAGATAACACTCGGGGCCTGTAAAGGGGCGCCGACGATCTCCATAACTCGGCAATCTTCAAAGCCGCGTGTAATTTCGCAGCAAATGAGCGAGTTAATAACAATTGCGCGTGTATGTTGCAGGCCTGAATGCCGAGCTGTACTACGTGCGCGACGGCGTCATCAACTCGTACGCCCTCAACTTCGTCGTGCCCATCCCGGCCAACATCACCGCCCTCGAGTTCTCGTGGCAGAGCCTCGCCAGACAACCGGTGAGTAGTTTTGCACCCTCTTCACGCACGCCCAATGTTTGGCTCAACGCGTCCTCCCGCCGATTATCGCCACGCCAGACAAACACTTTACGCAAATGCGCGGCAAACATGTATGTACGCTGCTTAATTTTTGCGCTACCCAATTTAGAGGAAACGAGCTATGCGACTAGCAAACTAAATTTTTGTGTCGTATAAAACAAATACGTGCTGGAACATGTTTGGAAAAAAAATATATCCAAAGAGGAAATTTTAGCCTTTATGCGAAATTATACTTTACGAAAATCAATTTTAATTAAAATATCTATTTTCTGTAATGAACTTCGTTTCCAGATTTTAGCAAATTTAGTAGCAAAGAAGTTATTTTTATCATCTCAACGAGCTCAAAGAAAACCATATTATTATGTTTTTGCCTTTCCTCAATACTTCAATACAATTGTTAGAGCAAAAATTAAATTTAAATCAGATTAAGAAAATTAAGCTAATTACTTTAGTAAAAAACTTTCCTGTCAAAATTACAATTGTTCTAAAACATTCAGAATTTTTTTCTGAAGTTTTTGCCTTTATTATATATAAAATAATATAATCACACTGTCTTCTTATAATTTTTTGACAACTCTTGCTTCTATAAAATTACACAGATTAAGGAGAAGGCCGTTCCAACAAAATATGCCTCAATTTCTCTACTGAATTTATTTCCAGAGATTTTCTGACAAAACTTTGCCTTTAAAAATTTTTATATGACTTATAGCACAATAAGTATTTTTGGCCATTGCTAGAGATTTAGACTGTTATCAACACCATTCTCGATAGAAAGATGAATGAAAAAAAAAACTATTATTTTACTTTGCCGATCCGATCTCAAGATTAAATTAACTCAAAAATCACATGTTTATCGAGTTCCATTAAATGTGACAATTTACAATTTTGAAGTATTCATTCGCATTCAAACAACGTCAGCATTTGATGAAGCCGCATATGTTCTGAAACAGAACTCGCTGCCAACAGCAAAGTTTCGCGAAAATACTCGAGTCTGCAAAGTTAAACGCTGACAGCCTCATCAGCAATGCGCAAGAAACGCGCCGTTTCAAAAGTAAATTCACGCTCTCTCGGAAAGTATGGCTTGTTTGATGAAGTGCGTGCGTCCCAGTAAGGCGCGGAAAAGTTGCCAGAGACGAATTCCCTTCGACGACACACACTCGCTGTACTCGACGCTCCGGACCGGCGGCTAAGCGATAAATCAATATACCCGCGCCAGCAATATTAAACAGGGCCGTCATATCGATGTTAATAGACCCTTGTCAGCAACGTCTGATGTATGTCGAATCGATGAGATGCCGAGAGTAGAAACAACCTCTTATCAGCAGCCTTTGCTTGTCAATCATCTCTGCCCTGCGCTGTGTTTGAAGTTTATCGCCAAGTTTGATTTTTCCTTTGCCCAGGGAGGGTCGTTTGTGATTTGCAAGTCATGACGGAAAACGGATAAAAATATACCGTCTGGTGCTCATATTATATTATTGATTTTGATTCTGTTGATTGAGCCATAAGATTTTAGGTCTCTTTTATTAAGATAAATGCGTGTTTTAATTTCCAAAAACACAGTACTTGATAACTTATTTAATTTCCATTCATTAAAAATTAAATTAAAAGATTTGATTACAAAAGCAAAATTAGTTTAAATTTATTCTGACAAAAAAAAAACGCAATAATTGACAAGGAGAATAATTAAACATTACAAGTAAATAAAAAAAAATTGAAAATTTAACTGATAATTGAAGTAAATTTATTATTTTTTAGAAGAAATCAGGAGAAATTTAAAATAAATTTAGAAACAAGTATTTTCAGGAAGGAAAATGACTCAAACGAAGCCAGTGCAACTTTTACCTCAATTTTCTCTTATTATGGTGCATTTCCCCTGGCGCACACAAGCCGAAAATTCCAGGCTCACTCGCCAGACTTTCCCACAAGAGGATAATGGTTTGAACGCGGCGAAATGGTCTCGTGACTGGCAACCATCGCGCCCTGTTTGGCAATCAAAATTGCATTAGGCCGTTCCATTAACATCGGACGAAATCATTTTAAAAGGTTCACCGCGCTTTCGAATGCAAAACACGGGAAAAAGAAAAAACAGCGGCGACAAACACAATCGGATGACCTGCGGTGCTGATTTTCCATCGTTATTGTTTATTTTTTTTTCCTGCACGGGCGTCAATTATAATCACTCCGGGGGCAATGTAGCATTGCGAGGAACAAAATCAATAATCGGTCGGGCCGTTTATTTTCCCAGCAGCTGCTTTCTCTGGTCCCCCAAGATGAAAATAAATTTGATTGGTGTTCGTTTTTCTTCATTAAGGGTGCTGCTTTGGGGACCGTAGCGTTTTTTTTGTCCACGGTGCACCTCAGAGATCGAAATTTCTCTTTTGTTTTGCTTGTTGATTTAGCTACTGCCAGGGGCGCCTTCTATTTTGTTTGTATTATTTGTGTTGCTGTGTGCACCTGGGCCAGGCAGTAGGTAAGAAAATTTTATGTGCATAATATTACAAATAAATATGTTGTTTTGTACTACAATAAATAATTTATTGATAAAAATTTTGTAATGACCAAGAAGAATAAGTAATAGTTATTTTTATTTTAAAAATCACATATTTTATTTAGAAAATAAATTTTTTGTATTAATTAATCAAATTTATATATTATAAATTATAATTTATAAATTTATTCAATTAATTTTTTTCATTTAGTATATTTTACTTTTATTCAAGCAATTTTATTAAATTTTTAAGTTTTAATAATTGACATGGTCAAAATTAGTTTGTTTTAAACAATATAAGTTTCAACAAGTTCATACATTTGAGATAAATTTTGGTGACAACATTGTATCCTCGCTATCTTTGTGCATAGTGATGCGTGCGGTAGTTAATTGTAACCTTTACATAGATTCTACAAAATAAATAATAAATAACAAAATTAAAATCGTTATTAACGAAGATGGAAAATCGCATGCATCGCTTCCTTTCATTTTATAATGGACATTTAGTGATTCATTCAAAACAGATAATGCTATGCTTTGATTGCAGATTTCTCATAACTAAGTTTTCATAAAGCAAAATGAAACATAATTATCTTACAATTAGCTAGAGCCTAAATAATGTCTATTATTTTATTATCATCATTTGAGATAACATCAAATCAGGCAAACACAAATGCCGAATTTAATATTAACTTTTTTGAGGCAACACATTTTGCATTTTATTTTATTTTAATACTTTAGAAAAGATAAAAATAAAGCCTTCGACAAATTATTTCCAATTGATTTTTTTCGTGACCTCACAAACATGCACAAAATTACAAATATTTAAACGAACCCCGCTGAAAATTTCTCCGCACACTTTGAATTCAGCACTGCCCGTGCGCAGTCACTTTTGATGGCCCTCAACGTGGCAATTAAAGACATTCGCAGTGACCCTCTGCCGCAGTTGGTGTGAAATATAATTGCCTCTCTTTAGCCGGCAAGGTGTGCTTTCCCTTGCAAACGACCGGCAATTTCGAGGGAGAAAAAAATGCGTCAAGGGTGCAGTTCCAACAAGTGCAGGCGCAATTCCGACTGCAAGTGGCACCAGCTGTGCAGCCCCCTAGTGCAAAAGTACACCGATGAATTTTCTCCTCCGATGGGGGATTAAACAGTCCTTAATTGATAATTAATTAACGTAATGGCGTCCATGCAACGCCCACTTAATCATGATTATTGTTTGTTCGGCTGCGCTGTGTATTAAATTTCACAGCGGGTGGATAATTATTGTAAACTCACGCGTCTACGGCCGAGTAATTACGGTTATTGCCAATAAAAAGCCGTTCCGCGAGCGAGTGTGTCGCGGGTATTTATGTGCAGGCGCGGAATTAGTCGCCTGTGTTGTGCGGTCGCGTTTTATTAGAACGGCGAAATGCAAAACAAATAAATACACGACTGTTGGAATATGTATTTGAGTTGCTGTTTGCACACAGAGCGATGGAATGGCAGTTAACAATCAGTGCCTGGCGTGATACGTGAAGCTGCATTTGCACACTTGCATAATTGCATCACATTACTGAACTGAAATCACGATAATCTATTTAAAATAGAATATTATTATAAATAAAAAATTTTAACATTTTAAATAATTTAGTATAAATACTTTTTTATTTTCATGTTATTTTAAAATTTTTATATTATAATATTTACGTGCAATTTAGTTAAATAAATGTTTTATTTGTTTAAGATTCATGTTTATCAATTCAAAACAATTATGTTTCATCTACAATGTTAAATTTCAATTTTTTATAGATACCATGTCATCCACATATGAAGAATTCTTACATTTTACAATAAATTTTAATCTCATATATGACTAGCATTTTGTAAATGCATATATAGATAAATAATTGATACATAATTCATATATTAGTATTTGTAATAATGATATAATATCAAATCTTGCCATGGCCTCTCTGCCATTAATAACCCTCATAACACCGCGCCGAATCTTCCCAATTATGCTGCTAATTAATCCAAACGGCGTCTCAACTTTCTTAATCTTCATCTTCCGTCCGAAAACTTAATTAAGATCCCGGTGGCGGCTGCTGCTGCTGCTGCCGCCCCAAATGATAATTAGAGCGGTGGTGTAGCTTTCCCGCAGCTAAGCCCGGCAGCAGCAAATATGAAAATATATGGGCCATAACTCAGTGGCGGTGTTCCGGGGCGAGATTAGACCAAATGTGGGCCGACGGCGGCAGTTATTAAAGGATTACTTTGGGATCGAGAGGTGCCTCATCTATCTTTGGCAATTATTGCCGCGCGCGATATTATTACGCACGTAGGGCCGGCTGAACGCGGCAATTTGTCCACGCTAAGTGTGATACATGCGGGGTCGGGTCGCGCCGGCGAATAAATTGGCCTGGCAATAATTTCGCCCAAGAGCACTCGCTCTCTCTCCAGTGCAAACTTTCGCTCGGCCGCCATCAATATT